ATCCGGAACTGGGAGAAGCATACCAAACCCAGTGTATGCAAAACAAATATGTTGGGATCAAACCCAGCTGCCAAAACATGGTAAACATGGGGATTCGTGTAAAAAACACGAATCCAATCTTACGGTAGTTTGTTTTTACCACCACCTTGCTATCCTGCCAGTAACAAGTGATACATACAGTAATCGAATGTCATCGATCAACAACTTGCTTGTTCGCTGCCCATTTGTCTCTTGACTTTCTCCATGGTGGACACAAATCCGACAGGGAAGCCTCATTTCTCATGTTGGCCAAGGTGAGAAGTAGATCCTCCCTCCGGTCTGCCTTCGACTCCACTGCCAGCAGGGGCTCCACGTGGCATGGATTGCTGGGGCCGTCCACACAAAGCAAGGCGGCCTGCACCGCTGGGACCCCTGGGACCACACCCGTCTCGCGCGCGGCATGGAGGCATCGCGGGGTGAAGCCGTAGATCCTCACCGATCCCATGGAAGGTGACACTTGACAGCCGAAGGTTTTCAAAAACACAACAGGGCCCTTCTGGTGGTTCTTCTTTCAACTGCGGGTTGTGATTCTATTTCTGTTTAGGAGATGAGCTTGAAGCTCTGGGGCTGCCCCGCTCTCCCGCCGAGACACCTAACAAATCACAGAAGAACCAGGAAAAAAAACACGCAACACCCAGGAAACCAGTTGTCTGGGCTGAACAATGCCTGAAAACAGGTGTGTCTACACAAATGGATGATTGCTAGACCGATGCGCATAGAAGGGCAGGTCTTTCATCCAATTATCGTTTGCAAAGGTCAAGGTATGGGTTTAGAGATTGTGCACATTCTATCTTCTCTGGAACTCACACCCCACACCACCCCACACTCATCGCTTGATCGAAACAACCTGAAACCAGCCCTTTGAGGCCTCTAGACACTCCGACACTTCCGCCTCTTGGTTGGGTCATTTTCACCAACGAAGTCTCACCACTCCCCAACGGTCTGAGTATACAGAGTTAAAGACTGACGGATTCTGACGGTTTCTTGTTTCCCGTTGTTTCACATAGTCAACTTCCCCAGAACTTCCAGTCACCAAACATCTGGGCCATCCCGACCAGTCCATGTAGCGAAAGACCTCCCAATATTTCCCAGGTACAGTAGGTCAACCGTTTGCCAGTTCCCCACAGCCACATGTTGTTACCTTATCACTTGGCTGGAGGCGCGGGCATGGTGCTCATCTCTCTGCCGGCCTCTGCGTCATCCTCGAGCCAGCGACCTGGGCGTGTGACGAAGCTCTGACGTACACATCTGACGCACGAGTCATTCTTTTCTTCTTTAAAGACACATCTAACAGATTTCAAAAGGGCGTTTACAACTTGAGTATACAATGTTCCACCAATGAAGTTCCCAGCAGCGGGCTTCTGCCCTACACATTGTGAGCACATGGGATCACTTCGATTTCATTGACTCGACCACGATCGCACCGTCCGTCCTTGATCAAATCCCCCTTTAACGCGGCTCAGTGCGAGCCTGTAAACGCACCTGTCAACTTGGATTTGCTCCAGGAGCCAGGAACATTCACCCAGAATCAAGGAAAATCACCCTCGCCATCCATCACCCTGTCTCCGCAAAGCCCAGTCAACTCCAACTCCGAACGCTTTTCCGCCGAGCCACGCAGTGCCTTCTGTGGAACGACCAGGTCACAGGGCTCGTCGTCCCGCCGCCGCGCCGCCGTCGCGCGGCTGCGCAGGCCTGGCCGGAGCGCCCCGGTGCGGCAGAGTGGCGAAAGAAAGGAGGGAGCCTGGTGCCAAGGCATGCCCTGGGCCACAGAAAAGGCCAACATGTACACACCGACACAGAAGTCGCAACTGAACGTTCGACTCTTCTTCATTCCTATTGAGAAGTGCTCTAGAAACCGTACAACATGAGTGGCGGAGCCTAGTAATTGAGGGCACCATCCAGCCCCCTATGATCCGGCTGTAGCTTGTGGATCTGGTGGTATGTTGGCTTTGCATCAAAGCGAAGCCAAGTCTTGAAGACACGAGCAACAATTCAGGTACTTAACTCTTTGATACTCTTTGCACAGGCACAACGGGTGACTGTCGTTTCTGGGGTGAGACGGTGAACAAGAACGGCACCTGTCGTGTCTGAGAAATCTCCCTCTCACTTCAGCTCAACGGAACTGATATTCATTCCACTAGCAAGTGAAGAAAGGGGTCACCATTTTTCTGATCAAACACACGAGTGGCCGTCCAAACAGGGGTTGTCGACCTTGGACACACCCAACATACACAACGGACGTGGATCCCGACCAGTCAGCGATGTGAGAGATGGCAGTGGATTAAAAAGGTGATCTGGTCCTGGCCAGGGCACCCCTTATATGGTGCCACCCAACCATATGAAACCAAAAGGAGACGTTTCTTTTGCCCCCTTAACTACTGGGAGCACCTCCAACAGTCTGTCTGAATTCTGCGAGAGTTCTGTGCCAAGGCTTTTTGAATAATCCCCGTTAGACAAGTACCATAGCATTGAACCAAAACATAGACCGACCCACACGCCCACAAGGGATCATGTAGAAAAGTTCAATCAATCCATGTACATCCATGTACTCTAGCATGTTCACCTCGCATCCCCGTCTGCAATGCAAAAACGAGACCCAATTTATCCGGTTTACCCCACGCCCAGAAAGTCCAGCACCAAGCGCCCACAAGGTCCGCGCAGACTCCGTGCGCCTGGCGCTCCGATGTCTTTCGGCCTCAGGACGGGCGCGTGCGCATCGCGTGCGCAAGGTCGTCATGAATTGTGCATCCATGTGACTATGCTCCAGATTGGGGTTTGTGCGTCGGTGATAGTCCTCAGCGTCCAAAACAAAGCTTTAATAGTGAAAGGCAACTCTCTCCAAGCCCGGCAACAGAATGGATTGAGTCGGTCGAACAAAGATTTTGTAGGTTTCAAAGGAACAAGGTGCTGAAAGAAACGTGCTCGCGACCCATCGCTGGACGTGCGATTCACAAGTTCAAGCACCAGTACAGCTGGGTCTGTTCTAGCAATTCGTCCAGGAATAGGGACATCTCCACACGCGACCTACGAGCTGCAATCCATCCCGTACAAATACTTTATATACATCAAAACTCCACCAACGGTGGCGTCTCCGGGTTCACGTGTGATCTTCTCATGGCCCCGAGCTTCGCTGTGGGGGGTGAAGGTAGGGTAGGTGGGTGAACGAAACGAAACTAATCTTATATTCCTTGAATAATGCTTATTATACATTATCTTATACATTATTCGAGGTACATTATCTTTTCTCAAAACCTTTCTGTTTGGCAACCGCTTCGGATCTGGATCTGGTGCGCTTTGTGGGGCGTCTTAGAATCAGCCACGTGCTTTCAGCGTGTCCCAACGCCTTCTTTGTTGAACACAAAACCAGCGGCAAACACCAAAACCCCCACAGAACACATACTCAGCCAGCGCCGAGTCCCTCAAACTGGATGGATCCCAAACGGCCAATTCGTTACGTTCGTAGCTTCTTGTTCCTAGTAAGAATGCTACTAGTATAGCAATGCCCTTTGTTAGTAGTAATGCCAGCTACGTTCGGTTCCTTGTTACTACCCGCTCCCCGCGGCGATTCTTGTACTACGGATGCGGACGGGCGCAAAGGATAACGGAGAAACTCGAGAAAAGCGACCAACAAAGAACATACCAGTAAAAACCCGTCCCATTTGATTCCATGTCGAAACTGCCACCGTTTCATGCGGTTTCTGCAGTTTCCAGGATTCTACATGCACGTCAGAACGGTTCCGCTTGCGTCCGTCCTCCTCGGTCCTCGCTCCGGTCACCGAGGCCCGGACGAGGCGCTCTGAAGCAGTGCTTCCGGGGCCTGTTCGGTTCGGTTTTTGGGGCTCCGCTGCTGGACGGAAGAGAGCCCCTTCGAACCGATCGCAGTGCAACGAGCGCAGCGCAACACGGTGAGTCGTATGGAGTGACTTCGTCATCGGCTGGGTTCGCTGGTCCCCAGACTGGCTCTTGGAAGACCAGCGGGAATCCTTGACCAGCACCGGCGGTTTTGCATTGTTGTTGACCCCTTCTCGCATGGGTTTGGCATACTCCACAATGGATGGTGAGAGCGGTCAGTTGCTATACTTACCTTGGTTGGTCCCCCCACCACTGTGGAAGGAGATTGCCGAATCCGTCTTTCGAAAAGTCATCACACATCCGCAAAAACTGAGCACTGAACCGCGGAGTGATGTCCAAATGGAGCCACCTTTCTATCATCCACAAATAGATTCTGGGAACCCTTCCATCGTTTCGAAGTCAAGCCGAGCCCCAGCCGAGTCCAGCCGAGTCCGGAACTTCAACCGCCGGATCCCGGCGTTTCGGAGAGAAACGGTGAGTGTCCCAGGGATCGAGAGATTCGGTGGTAAGAGGGTATACCCGATTGAACCCAGACCAAGCTACGAACGTAACAAGGGCATTACTACTATAGTAACAAGTACATTACTACTAACAAGAAGCCACTAGTAACAGCCTCACTACCAGCCTCTTTGTCTTGTCTTTCCCTGGCTTCAAGTGGGGTCGTTGTGGAACTGTGGGCTGGTCAGAGTCGAGACTGGCGAGACGTGGCGAGACTCTAGTTCCAGGTTCCAAAGGTTTCTGAAGAAAACTGGATTTGGAGAATGCATGAGACCTCAGACCCGGCCTTTTCTCACATCATTGAGTCACAGTTGCAAATGCATTCACAAGGGACATTGTACATAGCGCAGCTCAAGAATGACTAGCCAGGGTGTTCGACAGCGTGACAGCTGAGTTTTTATGGGACAGTGATGGGACAGTGATGGGTTGAGCGGGTCGATGCCCGACTTTTGGAACCCTATACCTCTGGATTGAATGGACATTAAACACCCCATATATCAATTAAATTCCATTAAGATCCATTAAGCACTTCTTGTGGAATCCCTGGTCATGTGTTTGAAGATCCTTCGACAAAAGGGATGCTGCTTCCCACTTTCCCTCAAAGGCGCGTTCCACCTCTACAACTCACTATCTGCATATCTCCACGTGTAGTAAATTGAAGGAACTATTGAGGTGCTGCTGATCCGTTTTTGTGGGCAGTGGTACCTGGCCAATGCCCACACCTGGCATGACACGAGCACCGATGCAGCGCATCGACACTCATCGACTTGAGCACTCGATGGTTCCTTCGCCATCGATGGATCCTCTACAGGCGAAACAACAGCGCTCGAGTCATCGTTCGTTGAACGTCGTGAGTTCGTCGTATTCTTCTCCGGAAAAGGAGCACATAGAACTTTTGGAGTAGTGCCTCTAAAGTGTGGTCATGTGATGCAGATTGATGTAGCAGTGTGTGGGATAGAAATCATGGAATATATTGATTAATATTGCATTCGTTGTGTCCTCCTAGATGCCTGGGTGCTCGTGTTGGTTCAAGGAAACACCAAGGGAACACCTACAGGAATACTTCGTTGAACTGCACATGAAATCTACGAATCTACGACTCTGGCATTTGCAAGATTTTAGAAGGTGCATGCATGTGCATGCTTGGCCAAGTGATTGACTGCCAAGGCCAAGGTGCTTGACTGAGCAGTGTTGTGAACCTTCGCCATAACAATGTGCTCAGAAAAGGTTTGTCTTCTTCATGATGCGCAGGAACTCCTCTTCGTTCACCTGACCCGCCAAATGACTCGAAACAAACAACCCCGAATCGGCCCGGAAACCATGGGCTTGACCGGTTTTCACCGCCGACCATCGCCGAACCGAACGGCAGACCTCTGGCCCCGTTGCAGATGAATCATGCAAAGGAGGCACCGTTTTTGCTTCACCCGATCAACCTGCTCCGTCCCATCCCCAGTCCTCGATGAGTCCCATATTCTGCACCATTTTCGACGTCATTTAGGAAGAAATGGAACCTTTGCATTTTTAGGCCAGCTTTCCACCAGAAACATCTCCCAAGAGCTGGTCTAAAGCGAACGCCGCGAACGCTTGGAGATGGACACAAACCGCTGCTCAAACGCTGAGGTCGACCAAACTGACACTCTTAAAAACAAACAAAGCAAGTCTCCGAAAACATCAACGAGCCAGTTCCCCAAACATGGACAACTATGCATAAAACATTCCTCTCTACTGACCAACCCAAACCCAAAAATCCACCAGCCAAACTTCCCGGGCCTCGCCGTCGCCGTCGCGGTCGGCCTCGTCGATCATCTCTTGCAGCTCCTGGGAGAATTGGGTGTACGACGGTTGGTCAGGTGAGCTTTTGGTTTGGTTGGTGGTTCGAAGGCCAATTTTCTTCAGTTCAGTTGGTAAAAAGGTATGTCACTGGATCTCACTTTCATGTCTTTTGATTGGAGCATTTCAATCTCCTGTAACTATAAGTTGGAACATACCCTTCATGGCGCTTCATCCTTCCACTTCGGCTCTGCACCCCACCCCAGTCCCTTGACAAACGCGCATCTCCTCATCAGTCATGCGCTCTCCGAGCTCCTACAAGAGCTTGGCGGAGAGCGACGGCTGCGGTTCCGCACTGAGAGCTGCGACTTGGTCGACTGGAAGTTTCTCGTTTGGAATCCAGAGTATACCCGACTGAAGTCCAGTTTGACTATTTTTGGCAGCCAAGTAAAAGAAATTTCTTTTTTTTCCAGGTCATCCTAAGACCATTGTTAAACATACTCTTCGACTTTCAGGGTATACCTTTTTTTTGCTGGCAACCGGTGGTTCGTTCCAAAGACTAAAACCATAGACTGACCGAAACTCGTGGTAACTGGGATCCATTGGGGTTGATTTAGAGCCCTGGGTTGTCTCTTTTAACTCTTCAGCAAAACTCGGCGTGGGAACATAGGCAACCAAGAAATCAATCCATCCGGTGGAGGCATTGTTTTGACACAAAGCCAATGACGGTCAAGATGTTAACAATTTCTGCCACCCTCTACCATGGAGTAAATAATGTAGACTCTCTTGTGAATAAAACACACACCCATTTGGATTGTATAAACTTCATCATCAACGGGGAGTTTAATTATCCAGTTTCTGCTTGCTTGCGGTCCACTCTTAGCTGAAAACGCAGGCTTCTTCCGCCCCAGCACTCTCCACCCGAAAATCCGGAAAAGCCACCGGCGGGGTTTCGCTCAGGAAACCGCGCGCGAGGAGAGAAACGCGCGCCGGGCTGCGGCTCCGGGATGCGGCTCCGCTGCGGTCCTTGGCGACGCGCTTCAGATTCTTGAAGGAGATCTTGCCAGTCTCGTCGTCATCGAAGAGACGGAACGCCTTCAGAATCTCGTCCTTCCTGTGTCCACCGAAGCGCCAAGTCGGGGTGGCCGGCGGACGGTGGTTGGCGTCCAGCGTGAGTGAGTGCTCCCAGCGTGAGTGAGTGCTCCCAGGAAGGAACAAAAATTAGAACATATTCCCATAATTTTCAATATTTTAATATAAATCACTATATATATATATACATAGATATTATTCCAGCGAGCAAACAGCAGAAAAAACGCACATGGATGAACGGCGGACCTTTTCCTTTCAACTGGCGGTTCGATCCAAAAGGCAGCTGACATTCAGCAACCTCGAACTTGGTGTTCATGAACGATCGGCGTTCGTGAACTGCTCTCGACTCAAACACTCCCCCTTTGGCCTTCCGACAGGGAGTGCCAATTCTTTTCTCTTCCTCAACTTTCAAAATCGGCCTTGATGGCCTGTGTCCAGCTCAAACTGCCTTTTCATTCGTTCTGGGTCCTGCATCTGGAGCAGGGTGTAAACCGCAAGAGATCTGTGATCCCGAGGTTGGCACAGCTTCGGCTCGAGTGCACTGAAGCACCCCATGAGCTGCACCACAAGGTCACATTGGTTGGTGTTCCTCGATTGGCCTTGCAGAGGCCACACCATGGTGACTGGCGAGCTTCGCCAGTTCTTGGCGCCTTCAAGTAGTCACATTCTCTGGTTCGGTGGTGAACTTTCCCGAACCGCGTTGTGAGAACCACTTCTTCCTCTTCTTCTTGTTTTCCTTTCCTGCTTCGACTTCCTCCGGCCTGAGCTGCCGGTGGCATAGTGGATGCCGATGATGCGGCTTCTTTCGAATCCCTTTCTTCTTTCTCCTTCTTTCTTTGCTTCTCTTCTTCCTCCTCTTTTTCTTTTTGCTGTCGCTTCTCATCTTCCTCTTTCTTCTTTCGCTTCTCTTCTTCCTCTTCTTTCTCTTTTTGTGTCATCTGTTGGCTCAATGATTCCATTGGAATCAGCTGTTGGGGAACATATGGCCTTCCCCAAATCAAAACTGGAGTCAGCGGAACCTGTTGGTCCCTCGGAGTGAGAGGCACTGAAGATGGAGTTGGATATGGAGACGGAGGCAATGGAGACTGCGTTGGAGTTGGGAGATAGGTGGGCCGGACAACTTCTTCTTCACTTTCCTCATCATCTTTCTTCTTGGCTGCCTTCATCTTCGTTCTTCGGTCTGGTGTTCTGGGAGGACTTCGCTGTTCACGACCAACATCACTTCGTGATTGGCGATTTCTTCCAGCTACTCCCTCCTTCAGATACCAGACCATGGAGGTCAGCATGACCACGATCAGGGTGTATAGAAACACCATCCAGCCAAGATGAACATCACTTTCTTCTTCACCATCAACTCCCCCTTGGCCTTCGGCTATCGAAATCGTAGCTGCCAGGGTGAGCAACCTGAGGACAGTGGCTGCTTTGTGCTTGTTTTGCAAGCCTTCTTCCTTCTCTTGACCTTCTTCCTTTTTCTCCTCCTTCTTTAGCTCCTCAACTTCTTTTCCACTTTCTTTCTCATCTTCAATCGACCTCACATTCATCCTCTTCTTCAAATCCTCCAAGCGCGAGGCAGCAAGGGCTTTGGTGCCAGTGTCGGCGACCATGACATCACCTGGGAGATGATGGATTCCCCAGGATCCCTCTTGAATGGCTTGCCTTGCGTAGGATGCCCTCGTTCTTAGGTGTCTCGTCCTCCAGGATCCTCCCTCATTCACCAGGATTGCGAGACCGCTTTGGCTATCGGTCCAAGCAAGATGAGGCAAAGGACCTGTCAATTCTTCCAATATCACGCCCACGGACTCGCCTGCAATCATGCCCTCAATGACTTCGTTCAACTCGGCTTCTGCAGTGGAAAGGGACACAGTGCTTTGTTTTCCAGCTCTCCAAAACAGGGGACTTTTTCCTGCCATGACCACTGTGCAGCCGTGGGATTCATCTCCATATGGGGCAAAACTGGCGTCCGTATAGACGTTGATCATCACTTCATCTTCCTTTTCTTTGGCATAGCAAATGCCTTGATCTTGGGTGGCCTTCAAATAGGCCTTGGTCTGAGCTCCCGCTTCTTGGACTGCCTTGGTGCCACTCAGAATGCTGGATGCCATACGAGACACACTGAACATGATGTCGGGTCTGGTTCTCGTGACGACCCATAGCATTTCGCCCACGATCTTCTGAGCCAGGCGGACATCATTCGGAGACGTAGTTCCAGTGTCCTTCGGCATCATCGCTTGATCCTTAGTGATCGGCACTTTTCGAGGCTTCATTTGTGGGTCTTCAGCGGCCAGGAGATCAGCCAAATACGACCTTTGCGAGAGATGCCACACGTCGAGGCCTTCTTCAGACTTCTTTTTCTTGACTTCCATCCCCAAGAACTTCACGCCTTCTTCCGTGATCTCTTCAGGCGGAGATGTAGTCCAAGTTGACATGATCTTTTGAAGGATGGCTTTTGAGACTTCAGGGCTTCCGGCAATGAAAATGTCATCAACATATGTCATCAACAAGCCTCGAAGCTGGTCAGATCCTCGAGACAGTACTCGCCACAGATTCGGTTCTGATGCGAGTGGCTCAAGGATAAGGACCTCCTTCTCTTCTTCATTTTCTTTCATGGCGATCTCCAGATCGGCGAGGATGTGGTCTCTGTGTTCACCCCAAAGTCGAGGCGACCTCCTCAATCCATAGATGGCCCTTTCTGGGATGTACATCACCCCTCTTTTCAGCAACCCCTTTTCCACCAGGATCGGCGGAGGTGCAACCAACAAAAGCTGGGTGTCTTCTGTGGAGTTCATGGCTGCATTCAGGAAGGCGGTTTTGACGTCCACCACATAGCCACTCCATTGGTGCTGAGCAGAAAGCCAACATGCGACTCGAAATGCAGTTGCATCGGCTCCAGCTGAATAGGTTTCTTCTTCAGCTGTTCGTGACTCAAAGTTGCCACAAACCACCCATCTTACTTTCCTTTTTCCACCTCGGCGACCTGGCTTCTTGGTGTACACGAGCTTGGATGGGATCAGTTCGATGACTACCCCTTTTTTCTTCGCTTCTTCAATCTTCTTTTGTACTTCTCCTTCTTCTTGAGGCCGAAGTGCTCGTTTCTCTTGAATGAGGGAATCGATCTCGTTGGTGGCTGGTTCAATCCATTTTTCCCATTCTGCCAAGACCTCCTTCTGCGAGACGATCTTCGTCTGGAGCACCTCTTCCTCTTCATCTTCCAGCGCTTCGGACATTTTCCTCAGCTTTTCAACGATTCTGATGGTTTCGACTGCCATTTGAGGGTGGTCACCATAGACACGCTTCATCTCTTCAGCAATCACCATCTTGAGCCTTCTTCTTTCTTCGGTCTTTCTTTCTTCATCCTCCTTTCTTCCTTCAATGCGTTTGACACAGGTTTTCTCCCTCAGCCTTCTTCTTAGGGAGAGGCCGTCCAAGAGTTCCTTTTCAAGGGCGATCCAATGCCCCTCTTCCGGAGCCGATGACACTTTTCTCACCACGCTCCTTGTGAGCCTTGGAGCTTCCCCTTCCTTCACAATCCAGTGTCCGTGGTTCTGAGGAGATGGTGCCAAATACCTGACTGATTCCATGGTAGGTGAAAATTCACCCAGCTTCCATCGACGTCGGCGAACCAGGACCTCTTGCATGAAGGGCGGAAAGGAAGGTTTTTGGTAAGTGCGCTTGCACCTGAGCACCTCGTCGCAGTGCTTGAGCGCCCAGGGCCACCACTTGGCCGTTTCGCCAGCTTGGTATAATGCCTTGCGAACCATATTCTTCAATGCTTTCACTGCGGCCTCTGCACGGCCGTTGGACTGGGGTTCGTCCCCTGCGGTTTTGGTGACGATGATCCCCCTTCTGCGCGTCCAGTCCAAAAATTGGCCTGAAAATTCCCGACCTTGATCGGTGTGTATCTTGTTGACGGTGTAGCCGTCGATCTTCAACCTCAAAATCATTTCCATTGTGGTCCTTGTGACTTCTTTGGCCTTCTTTGTGTGCATTGGTTCAGCCAGCCTGAAGACTTCAATGTCATAGTCCTGAGGCTCTTCTGCTGCTTCTTCTTCTTGGTATAGATCGACTTCTCGACCTTCCCTTTCTTCAGCATCGGAGAGGCCACCTGAGACATACTTTGGTTCTTCTTCTTCTTCATTTGACTCTTCTTTCTGACTCTCATCGTGGTCCTCCACTTGTTGGTCCTCTTCTTCTTCATCTTGTTGATCTTCTGGATGGCCTTGATCCTCGTCTTCACCTGGTTCAATGGCCACAAATTCAGCCTCCTTGTCCAACTGTTGATCTTCAGGAGGTTCTTCGATTTTCCTCCCTTTCGGCACTGCCCATGTGAAGGTTCCAACGAGGAAGTAGCGGGCCATGTGTCCGCCCTGATTGTATGCAGGAATCAGCGGTCCTGCAGTGTCCAAGGAGAGCACTCCAGCCAAGGGCTTCTTGACCTTACGATGAGGCGAACTTTGTTGGTTCTGCTGACACACCAAACAATCTCTTCGTGCTGGAGTGTGTCCAAACATGATATGTTCTTCCCAGGACATAGCTTTCAACTGCGGGCTTCGACCAAAGGCATGGAGGAGCAAGGACCTCGACAACATGTGCATGATGCCCGGCGCCCATCGTGCCAACTCCCAAGAACCTTTGACTGTCGACCTCTTTTCCCCTTTCATGTAGTGTTCTTCAGGGTTGAGCTTCATGGTTCCTGCAAACGTTGTTGGCTTTGCAGTCTGACCTCCAAGTGGCTTCTGGTGGAAGGTGGTTTCATTCCACTGGAATTCCTTCTGAAGCATCTTCCATTCCTCGGTGTCCCAAAACGACACCACTTCCGGCTTGTAGGCCTTCGGGGATGCTGGTTGTTCTAAAGCAAATGCTGGTTCTTTTGAAATTCCCCTGGCCCTCCTCATGTAGGTGGAAACCATTTGAAGAAATACCATGCGCCACAACAAAATGTCGTCTTCTTGAATCTTTCTTTTTTCTTCTTCAGTAGCTTCTTTGATGCCATTTTCTTCACCTCCCCAACGACGAATGGGTCTTGGTGGCATCTCCCCCTCAACGGGGTAGTGTCTCAGAACTGAACGAGTCCTGCAATTGGGGCCTCCGACCAGGCCAAGCAAGCGATCTTCAAGAACTGCTCTCATCAGACCTCCATAGGGCCCATCCGGAGTCAGCATGTTGTGTTCTTTTCCTCTCTTCAGGTCGATCTCGAGGAGCTCAGCATCTTTTCCTCCTGCTTGACTCCATGCCCGACCAAGGGTAAATCCATCTGCTTCACCTGCATAAAGGTGGCACACGAAGCCATTTCTCTTCATGCTTCTCCTCATTCTTCTATTGGCAGGCAGCGAAGACCAAGGTGCAGGAGAAACAACCAAACTATCCTTGACATAGTCCGGAAGCCTGGACAACACCGGATGTTGTTGCACCAAGTCTCGCATCCATTTGAGCTCTGCCTCAAAGTCATCGTCTTCTTCATAGTTCATTCCCAACTTCGCTTTCTCAAGTTCATCAATCAACTGCAGAGCCAGGCGACGTGGCAACTGAGGACACCCATGTCGATCTTCCACTGGCAGTTTCCCCCAGGTCGGATGTTCCACCTCCAAATCGACCAGGATATGGAACAGTTGAGCTGGTCAGCAAGCAAGCCCATGGGTATGATCGGCTCAATGTCAAAGTCCTCAGAGATCATCGCTCCCCCTGGACTGATGGCCAGGGTGGCCGTGCTTCCATCTGCAAGGGAGACATGGACCTTCTTGTAGTGTTCTTGATCTTCCCCTTCTTTCAATGGACGAAGAGGATGAGTTGCACCACTGTCCAGCAGCCCTTCTTTTTCTCCCTTCTGCAATCTCTTCAACCTGAACGTTTTCATGCGCAACATGTTCAACTGTTGCTGTAGCTTTTCCATCACTTCTTTTCGTTCTTGCTCCTGAGGGAGGGCTGAAACAGGTGAAGAAGCTTGCGATGATGATGGCGAGGAATGCATGCTCTTCAACATGTCGTTCGCCTCCTTGATCAACTCTTTGATGGATGGAGCTCCATCATTTTGGTCCACTTCACCCTTTCCTCCTTCAACCTTCTCTTTCTCAGCCTTGGCGATCTTTGGCTTCGATGAGAAGTCCCTCACCTCCTTGGGTCTTGTACATGCTGGAGCCATATGGTCTATTGAGCCACAATTCCAGCACCTTCTTCTTTCGTCCTTGAGGTCGTGGGAGTAGCCACAACTCTTGCCACGTCGACAACCTGAGTCTGTCAGGTAGAACCGACACTTTCCTTTTTCTTTGTTGGATTCTCTTTCTTCTACATCTTTTCGATCTCGTCCTTCCTTCTTTTCTTTGTTGACTTCCTCAAATCGCTTCAACTTTGTAGGATCAGGTAGTGCAGGAGGATCTTTCTTTCGACTCTGCAAATTGACCTGTTCCAGCTCAGCCATCACATGCTCGGCATACTGGGTGATCGAAGCATGATTTGGGACCGAGTCAATCATCAACGACGATCTTGCCAGTTGGAGGCGGAAGTTCAAGTCCTGGTTGAGCGTCAGGATCTTCCGAAGCATGCGGCTTAGGCCTCTGGCAAGAATGGTGGGATCTGGTACACTAACCCCCAACTCTTCAGCACGTCTTTTCCATCGGATCCACTTTCGTAGGGTGGCAATGCACGAGCCAACACTTTGAGCTTCCGACGGGGCTTCAAGGGCACTGAGAATGGCCTGGCGTTCTGCTAGACCTCCAGGTTGATACAGCTCCATGCCTCGAACCAGGATGCCCAGTGTTGAGATGCTTTTGGATGCAACAACTTCTTCTCTCAAGGAATTTGGGATGGCGGTCAGGAGTAACCCTGATGCCCTTTTCTCAAGCCGCGACCACTTCTTCTGATTGAGGACTGACGATGGATGAACCTTGTGCCCCAACCTTTCCAGTGGAGTTTTGGCCATATGATCTTCATACCAAGAGCGAGCCACCCGGACAACTTCTTCCCACCAAGTTTCGCTTGTGGTGGACAGGTCAGCCATGATGGGCTGCAGCAACAACAGCCAGTCTGCATAGTCAATGGGCGACGACTCCGGGCTCCACTCTGGCAACTTTGGTAGTTCGACTGCATTGCGAACCAGTTCAGCTTCTGCTCCGTCTTCATCTCGCTGCGAACGAAGCACTTTCTTCTGCAACTCTTGCATGCCTTCGACCAGCTTGAGGACGACCGTGAGCGTCTGGTGCTGAGTGTCCATAGATTCAACTGGTTCTTCCTTTTTCTTTTTCCTTGGAACAGTTCCTCCTTTTCCTGTTCTTTGTTCTTCTTCTTTTGTTTGTTCTGTCTTCAACTCTTCCTCTCCTCTTTCAGCTTCAGGAGGTCGGGTTGAATCACCTGCTTCAGCGCTACCGTTTGGGGTGGCGAAAACAGCTTCATCTTCTTTTACCTCCTGCTGTGCTGTCAAGAGGCGTTGCAAATGCACCTTGAGAAGTCGATTCTCCTCAAAGAGCTGAGAAATCTGTCTTTTCTGAACCTCGTCACTTTCCAGCCTGGTCCTCGTCAGAGGATAGATGCCAGTTGCTTGATCTCGGAGTCGTTGGTTCTCCTGAGACAGCAGGCGAATGCGGCGGTTCATTTCTTCCTTTTCATACCTTTCTGCAGCCTCCCACTCTTGTCTTTCCTCTTCCATCATCCTTTCTTGCCTTGCTTTTCTTGCCACTTCCTTCTTTTCTTCTTCATCAGCGAGGAAGCCAGGACGGTGCAAGGACGTTTGAGGAGTTTGGAACTGTGGATACAAGAGAGGAGCTTGGCTATACATTTCATGAAGGCCCTGTAGTTGTTCCCTGTCAAACAGAGGCTTCACAGCTTCCGGTGGTGTTGCGATCGAAAGGATCTCATGGGTACCATTTGGCAACACATCCACTTGAAATCCTTCTTCTTTACTTTCTTCTTCTTCTCCACCCTTTCCTACCTCAACCTCTTCTTCGGCCTTGTAGGGGGTGATAGAAGTCACATCTTCTCGACCCTTTGCAACCTTTTCTTTTGTGCTTGGGGTCGAACTCAAAGGCATTGGCGGTCCCCTCACCTCTGGTGTTCTACCTGCAACAGAGTTGGTGACCTTCGAAGCACTAGTCACGGTGGTTGGTGCAGCTGCCGTGGAAGGAGTCCCTTGACTTGGATGGGATTCCGAAGCTTCCTTTTGCCCCTTTTTTCCTATCCTTTTTCCTTTCACTTCACTGCCTTGGTCGTCCTCCAAGGCCAACTCACCGCTTTCCTTCAGTTCCCTTTCCAGACGCTCCTGCGCCTGCTTCACTTCTTTTTCACCTTGAGCGAGTTCTGCTGCCGTCGCTCTTCTTCTTCTTTGGTTTAGCGACATCGGCTTTGGCGGCGGTCAAGCTGTTGGGCTCATAACCTATTCCAGCGAGCAAACAGCAGAAAAAACGCACATGGATGAACGGCGGACCTTTTCCTTTCAACTGGCGGTTCGATCCAAAAGGCAGCTGACATTCAGCAACCTCGAACTTGGTGTTCATGAACGATCGGCGTTCGTGAACTGCTCTCGACTCAAACAGATATAATTGCCAATACCAGCAAATTCACCTCTAACATCCCAGCGTAGAACCTTGCTGAAAAACCATAATATGAAGGGCCTTTAGTGCCTGACCAAGCCGAAGGTTCCACCGAAACCAGGCACCGCGGTGTCGCTGTCCCGGTGAGTCGGACGAAGGCATGCGGTCCGACGGCAGTGGGGGTCCGACGAATGTCTGCACCGAGAGGCGGGTCGCGATTCAGGATCTTGTGCGTCATCATCTTCAAAAACCTGATCTGATCGAGGTTCGGCCGAGGTTCGGCTGGCCTCCCAGCACGGGGGGGTTCCAACCCCCCAAAAAAACGACCGGTTGCACCGCACTTGGCTGGTCATGGCACCCAGAGCCCGGGACTCACCCTGGTTGGTTGACCTCCTTATTATATAGTCGGGTATTCGGTATTCTGTTCATTTGCGCTGGTCAACTGAGGTCCCGCAGTTTTGACCCTTGTGCGGTCCTCTGTCTCCTGTGGGGGTGCCAGGGACCTTTCGCTCGCTTCTGCGACTGCTTTAGTTCTCCAAGATAGAGCCCATCTGGAATATCTGGAATCTATATAGTCAGCAAGAAACATCAAACCATCTCAAATCATCTGGTGTCTTGCTGCCCCCAATCTGGTGCCTTTTCCGAACAACACATCCTCCGGCCGGCGGGATGGGTCAAACGCGAAGGCACCACCAGTCCGGCCGTGCCGCTGGACTCTGCATTTTGGTGCCCCAAAAAGCCAGCTGCGATTGGGGATGGTGGGGCGCATGAGGTGGTTCACTCACAGCGAGCAGCTCGATGGCCACGTCGGCCGGCCGTGGGCGAAACAAAGAAAAACCGTCGTTCCGGAAACACGGTCGGACTCCGCTGGGACCAGCCATGCTGAGCAACAAATGGTGTTCTCTCCTGTGTCCAATGCTTTGAGGATTGCCATGGCCACTCGGCACCATGGAAGAATGGGATTCTTCATACAAAAAGGGGCAGCTTGCCGCTTCCATGTCCGGTTGCACCTTTTCAACACACCGGAGTCGCGATACTAACCAGAAGGACCTCCTCTGGTGCAGCGGAGCGAAGGGTGCAACCAAAAGCTCCGAGTGGTTTCCAACCGAGGGCGTCCACAGCTTCTGGTCCGGTCCAAGCAACTCCTCGTAGCCGATGGTGCCACTTTCATCATCGTCCACATCGGAAATCATCTTCTGAATCTCTTCCTGCCACAGGACATGAAGAAACACACGGGGGCCACTCCTGGATCTCTTCCAGCAAACCAGCCTTATGTCTCAAAGCCCTCGACCAGCGACATCTTTTCCAATGCCCCAAGTACAACTGAAAGGATGTATGCTAGTATATCCCGTCCCGAAACATCAGACTACTGTACACACTGTAACTCATTGTTTTCAAAAGCGTTGAACGGATCCAAACGGATCGAAAAGGATCGAGGACCCAAGCTCTGAGCATCGAAAAAAACGAATCCCGAGATATTGTCGAAGGAAAGCCAGACCGCATAACAGACGTAATCCCAAGATCTGCCTCTTTTTTTCAATGTTTTTTAGGTTGTCTCATGTATCATGTTTTTGGAGAAGTCAGGCCCGCCGCGGTGCCAACCTTCTTGGGCTCGAAACCCAGTGCGCGCATGGCCACCTACGAACCCCGCCGAGTTCTCCGAGAGACGAGTCCATGACTCATGGTTGTACCATGTTGTATCCTCGCTTTTGGGGGATCGCCACTCGGATACACCGATGAGTTCTCAGGTTTTTTGTCCGAACATGCGTTGCATTGCTTTGCATGACGTTGCTGCAAAAAAGCGCTTTGCAAAGACTGGACTACGCCGTAAACCTATGCGTCAAAGGCTTCACACGTATAGGCTATCGGCACTTCTGCAACATCCTAAACCACAGAAACCGACGGTAACATGAACACAACGATACTTCCCAAAACACATGTGAGGTGTGAACAACGTGTGGTCGGTAGATTGCCAGTTGGTTTGCGAAGTGTCTGAACTTCAGAAACTGCATTGATTCATTCAGTGCGCATGCAAGCAAAACCTTCTGTTCTACTTGCACTCCCTCCCATCAACATCATCAACACAAGAGTGAAATGCATGGGAATGATTCTCCTGCCTGGGTACTCCTCACTCCAACTAGCTGTGTGATCAAAAATTGCTCATCTGTTAGCTCTAAGTCTCAAACCGTCTCTCGCAAAGTCTCCAATCACGCAAGTGATGACCTTTGGTCCGCCTAGAACATCCTCAGGCCAATACGAATCATTTTGAAGAACCGACAAGCAGATTTTGGACATCAAGCAGGTAGACATGGAGAAGGAGAAGGAGTGTCATGCGACCGAAGAGTCTGCTTGCGAAGTTCCTGTCTCGGTGACTGTCTGAACTGTCTGACCTGAGAACCGGAACGTGGAACGCGTGAGAAACGCTTCAGACCGGACACCACTTCAGACCTCGCGAGGAGTCAGCGACCCATCAAAACCTGCCTGAATGACCTCCAAAACCAAACATCACCGGATCTGCAACGTCTGGAAACCTTCTGTCGAACCCTCTGGAGTATTCGACAGTCGAACCCACCATCACACTTCCACACTTCCACCTGCCACCGGCCGATCGGTCCACGCTGCGTGGGAAGCCCTGGTTCAGACCGCTCACCCGGGCACAGACCGGGGCTCCGACCCCGCGGGGAGCTCGCGGGGCGCGCCTTGAGCTCCTTCGAGTCGATCTCGCCTGGTGACGAAGCGGACGTCCGAAGGGAGAGTCAACTGATCCAACTGCAAGTCACTCACCTATTGACCGATCGGTCGGTTACCTATTCCTTTCAACTCCAAGTTATTTACTTCCTTTCGCATCACAAGTGTCAGAATTTGGGAGATTCTCCGGGAAAAGTTCGGTGAACATGCCATGTTCCATGGCTTCTACTTGGGGGTCAAATCCTGACTTGATCACCCAAGTAACATGGCACTCTGAAAAAATCCTTGCCGACCCTGGAACCAGCAAATGGAGTCATTTTCTCCGACATACTGTAGCCATCTGTAGCCACAATTATTGTTTTTCAGCTAGGGCTAGGGAGGTAAATTCTTAGACGTGGCCCTAGGATACTCCTATTTCCCGAGTTATATAAACATTGGGGTGTTTGGGGGGATAACCCTAAGCCTAGTTTTGAGCCATAGCATGCCATTGCCGCTATTCGTCATTCATATTTGCTTCGAATGTTCAAAATAGGTTGATGTGTCTATACTCTCTTCCAGTCAGGAGAAGGTTTGGTGAAGAGAGTCCCGAATATCCGCATCACACCCGAGAAAGCTGTGGAGAGAGTGCACGAGCATTTCATTCACTTGAATCTTTCCCTCACCCACATGTACACCACAATGCACTGCAAACCAGCATACAACAATCGCAACAACCTACACTGTGTGCCTCACGACGAGCCATCAGGTGCACCTGAGCCATCCGTGTCGAAGAGGTCAAAGGCTTCCTTAATCTCCTGCTTCTGCTCATCCGTCAACTCCTCCAAAAGCGGAATTGCTTGGCATGGAAGGGAAAAGGCGTGGCTGGAACGCGTGAATAAGGCGTGGCACGAGAATCAGGCGGACATTGCCGAGTTGCCCGGCAAAAACGTGCTGAGACTGAGCCTCTTCAAATCTCTTGAAATGAGTTGTTGAACACCTTGGTCAAACGCTTTTGATGATTGCCCCCCTCACTTTTCATCCGCTAGAAGAAGCTCCCAAGCAGAACCCCAATTCCGCAAGCCGCAAGCGCTTCGCTTCGCGCTCGCTTCCGGATTCTCCCCGGAAAAGATCCTTGGACCCGTACGCCCCAGAAAAGGATTGGGTCAGTTTGGGAGAATCAGCATCATCCGATCTGCCAAAAACCAGGGTATAGATGGTATAGATAGGTAATTAATGGTAATGAATTAGAGGGCATAAGGTCAATGTTTTGTGTGGGCCAGGAGAGCGCCACTGCACCTGTCAGCTGAGCTGAGCGGCAAGCCGCCCTATCACCCTAACCGCGCTCCACAGAATCAAAGAGAGGGGACCAGCGGCTCAACAAGTCGTTTTGACGATCACAACAAACAATGGTGGACCATACCATATACCATACTCAACATCTCTTCACTCACACCAACTGCCCGGCGCTTTGTTTGATTCTGTTTTGGATGGTCTGATCCACTTGGCACTCCCACTTTCCTTCAATCCTTCGAACAGCAGATCTGTCAGATTCGGGTGGCGCTTCGAGGTTGGACCTCCGTGGGGGACTTTCAAAATAGGGCCCTCATATGGAGGGGTCGGACCCTCATATGGATGGGGCTGTTTGGCACGCCTGGGTAGAAACATTGAACCCCATTGGTAGCTAACTGACTTTGAGACATGTCTGTCGAACTCGAGTCATTTCTGTATTGAATTCCCATCGCAACCACCTGCGACCACATAGCACAACATACTGCAAGGAGTCCTTCTGCTTCTTGCCGCCGGCGTTGAATCGACGGAGAGCCATGAGGAAAGCTTGAGCACCAGGGAGAAAAAGCTTGAGCAAGTCTCAAACACTGCAGGCAAAGGACATGTACAATCGCAGTGCTATGCAGTTTCCCACCTCCTGTTTCGTTTCTTTTGAGAACAACAACTGAGCACTACATGGTGTGCTAAAAGTGCTTGGATGTTTTGGTCATCTTGCAATGGGACTCTCATCGGACTTCCTCTTCAATAAGCAGGGAGGAACCTATTGTATACAAACATGGACCATGGATGTTTCCGTCAACAGTATGAAGGATATTGAAGGAGTAGCAACACACCAATTGACCCGAATCTCTTTCTGGATCCGACCACACTCAGCTCGGGAGCTGCATCCAAGTTCAGCCGTCCTCACATGCAATGGGGCGGTAGAAACCAACAGCCACACGTGAGCCGCCTGCAAGCAAAGAACAGCATCACCCAACCCAACCTGAGCTCCATATCCTTCAGGCCGGCTCCCAATTCCCAACCACATTCTCCTTAAACACCATGTCCAATCAACTGACAGCTCCCCCAGACTCCACACAGATTTCCTTGGTTCTTCTTGCTTCACCCACCTCACCGGAGAGCCTCGGTCCCGGCGCCAGCCTCGCCTGGAAGTCTTCTTGCTTGGGCGCCACCTGCGCGACCGGAGGAGTTCGACCGTGTCCACGGACACGGAGGAGTTCCATCCGTCAGGGGCACTCCATCGGTCCTGAAAGAGGCTGAGAATGGCTGAGAGAATTCGGCAGTGGATGGTATTCTAAGTCCAGCAGCCGGGAAGACATAGCTTTCCCCAGAACGGGTGGGTGAATCGGAAAAACAACACCCTTATATAAGCAAAACCAAGAGTGTAGATGTTACAAGGAAAGAATAATCCCAAAGGCATTTTAGCCGTGGTGCGCGGTCAACAATCCCAGCAATCCCACGAGTATCAGGGATGTTGCCATCTCAGCTAACTCCCTCATCATACCACTGCTTCACTAGCAAAACTTGCCCAACATCTATATTCCCAACATCTATAATAAGAACCCATATTTTCATGTTTCCCTTCTCCTGCATTCCAGCTGGTAGGGATCCCCCGAGTCCCACGCCAACTTTCTCTGCACGCGAAACGACCGGCGCAAGCGTTGCGAAACGCCGGTCAGCTTTGGCGCGAACAGATCGGGGCGATGGAGGATCAGCATCGGCCAATCAGTCCAGCGATGGAGAATCAGCGTGACTCCCCTGCAGAGCACTACATGGAATCCCCAAAATGCCTGAAAGAAGGGTAGTGGTGTCATTTCACTTTCCATGGCTGGAGCTTGAAGCAGCTTGGTGGCTTCATATGGCTTCAAAAACAGCACATCATCCGTACTTATATTCTCTTTAAAGTTGTTGTCATTTGCAGTGGTAGAGCCTGTACCCTGAGTTGACCAGTGCATTGTCCAGTGCCATTGTAAACAAGATCATGTAATAAGCAAGACACGGCTTTCATGCGAAGATTGATACACGCTTTGGCGCGCCTAACCTAGGGAGGCACTAAATTGAACCCTTGCGTTTGAAGGGGAATAGAATGAAGGTCCAGCATGAGGCAAGGTACAGTATAATTACTAATTGTTTTTCGAACGCCACAAAACGAGCGTCCTGACACATGGGCTGGAAAACCCATATTCCCCCTAGTAGTATAATTTCTTGACATGTGATGACATGTGAATCTATCATGACAACCTCGAGAAGGCCATCAGCCACTATGTCGTCATGATGCTCTTCATCCATTCTCCCGGTTCGCACTGTCGGTCTTCGACAGTGCCAAGTAGTATGTACTGAGAAGCTTCCAGTCGACGTGCCGTGAGCCAGTGAACGGCCGAAACGAAACCAACATTAGGGAGGTCGATATTGCTTGGATACCTGGCTGTGCCATCTAGTGAAAACAGCGAATGGCTTTAGTGAAATGACAAATGCTTCCGGAACGTAACCAATTTAATCCATGCGTTTGACAAATTTGTTTCTAGTGCCTCCTCCTGAACCACCACAATGAACAGTGACGAACAAGAATGCAAACAGGAATTGCACAACATTCTGAATCAACATCACGAAAACAAGCCTGCGACAATACTCTGGCCATCCGATTGAACCAAAAGAAACACAACCAAAGACCTGCAACGAGAGCCTTAAACAGAATCATTGTCTAGACATGTCTAATTAGACTGCATGTAGTACCGTCATGGTGGCTTCATATGTGTATATATCTACTTCCAAGGGACCATGCGTTCGTCATAGTGTTGTTGCGAACTCCATTTGTCGCTCCGAGTCGAAGCACTGGAAGCTGCCCGATCTTACGAAGGATCTTCAACGTCTCAAGCCTTAAGATGCCAAGCTGCGTTTGTTGCGAGGTCGTGAGACCCCAAGGGAACAGCGACTGGACACCCATCGTTTTGGGGATGAACTCCTGTAGATTTCTTCTTAAACCATATTCATTGGTTCTTTAAGAATGTACACTGTCCTTGGTGGACATGTTTTGTCTCGCCCTAGATGCGTCTCCTGAACGTTTCAGTGGACGACCTTGAGTGGTTCCTCCCAGTGATGTCCAACCTTGGACCGCTTGTACACACTTTGGGGTATCCCCTCTACTAAATCAATCCAATAGCAAAAGGCAATGATTCCTTCAACTCCAAACGCTTCAACCAAAACTGAGCCTCAAACCAAGCTGTTTCCAAGCAGACTGCTACGGCGGCGACCTCGCCCGGATTGACAAAGCGGTAGACCCTGGTTCTGGGATCAAAGGCTGAACACATGCATCAACAAGCAGGAATCATGATTCCAACGGCAAACGATTGGACACACAATTGGAGGTTGATGTGCTGTTGAAGTGGGGATCAGAACGATTGACCTCTTGGGACCGTCTGACAAAGATGATCAAAGATGGAACTTTGAAGTCTTGGCACAGGCGATCCGGATTTCTGAAGGCGAAGACATGCCATGATGTTCATCATCCCCCGTAAAATTCGCGAAGGTTTGTGAACTGGCATTGCATTGGTGTTGCGTCAGCGCACGCGGTTGGAAATGCCATGGACAAGTGTGGACAACTTGATGCTGCTTCTCCCCACCAGGAGTGAATCTTCACCTCGCTAGTAAGACAAGGCAGGGAAAGGGTACCAAAAGAAGTACCCGGTAGAAGGAGACATTGAAAGACATGTGCGTCTTCCCAGTCTTTCCTCTTTCCCGGGCCATCCAGCAACTTGGAAGGGTGCCCAGTCTTTCGCTCTGCGCACCTTGTGCCCCAGCTGTACTCTTGCTAGTAAGATGCGCATCCAAACTCCAATTCCTTTCGGATGCTTTCCACTCTGTCCGAACTGACTGGGCCAAAGGCGTCACTTGCTTTCTCAAGAAGCGGCAAACTGAACGGATCTTCGAAACGGGAACGATTTCCAGAAGGAATTCATAGAAATTCTCTGTTATCCTGGGGATTGGCCTAGAGGGGGAAAACAAGGAACACCCACCCCCATTTCAGCCCATGTCTCCCATCACCTCAGACCCTTTCAGCGCGCGCGCAGAAAAAAACCCATGGCTTGTCCGCTTCGCCTGACCGACCTTTCTGAGGAAAAATCACCTGCCAAGTCGGTGGAAAGCGCTTTCCCACAAAATCTGGGATCTGAGAATCTGGGAGGGCACCTGCAGCAAAACCACTCAAGAACCACCACCATCCAAAATCATTGTTGCGTGACCCCCTCCGAAGTTCACTTGTTTGACTCGTTTCCATGACAAGAAGTCATGAGTCACTCAAATATTCCGACATGCAGTCTATAGGAAAGACAGGATTGTACACCTTGCTGGGCCCAAACACGTGTTTCAACTACTTCCTTAGAACATCCTATAACCCATGCAACCCCTACTTTGATTCGGAAAATCACATAGTTTGATCCAAACATATCCAAAATAGAGGTCACTCAGCTTCTTGCGCGTACTTCTTTTGGCCCGCCGCCCACATGCACATCGTTCACATCTCACCGTCGAAGTCGACGGCCCCGCTGTGCGGCCGCGGCCGTTTCTGGCGCCTCCTTTGGCAAATCGAAGCACGAGAGCTCCACGGGAAGGCTTTGCTCGAAGCCCAACGCCTCGCGGACGCGAACACGACGGCGTTGGACGCGCAAAGCAAATGCAATCCGCAGGGTCCTGCACGCAGGTATTCTCAGGTCCTGTGTAGACTGGTGCTGTCGAGGTGGATTTCTAGATGCAACGAACTAGCCACAGGGTCCTCGAGCTAAAAGGACTTGGAGATCGCTGGACCCTGCCTCCAAATCTGCTTTGATTGATAAAACTACGAATCATCCTCACATAATCCTTGCAAAGCAGGTTGGGATATATGTTGGGTCATTGGGGGCAGGGACTCTGAAATTCACCTTCCCAATCGAAGCAACCCATTGTATTTCTACAAGCTGTTCTCCAAAAAGCGGCAGTTTGGCTGACTCCAGCAGTCCAGAATCCAATCAATATTCTATTGCTTGAGTTCGCTCATCCCAGTCCTCCTGCCACATTCTCTCAGAAGACCAAAGGTTTGCCCTCCCCAAAAGGCCAAATCCTCCCAACATCACCCAACCTTCTTTCGAACCCAACTCACTCCCTTCAAACCTACTCAAAAACAAGACACCACCCATCGCTACTAGGAACAAGTGCATCGCTTCTAGTAACAAGTGCCTTACTAATAGTAACAAGAAGCGATTAGAAACAATAAGCTACTCAAAAACAAGACACCACCCCCCACCCCCAACATCACCGACGAATGCTCCACCAATCCGGAGACTGGTCTGGAGTCTGACGACCGCAGGTCACTGCCTTCGGTGGCGCCACGCACAAGGATTTGTTGGTCGAAATAGACATCCGACACCAACCATCGTCTGGGCGGCGCGTGGGCCACGTGTGAGAACGCGAGAATCGCCGGCGGGTGATGAGCATCACCGGCGGGTGATGACCATCGTTTGGGCGATTGGTCCGTCAAAAGGCTCAAGTTGAAGGGTCTCAACTTCTCAGGTCGCCGTCTTTAAGCAGAATTCTTGAACAAACATGAACTAAGTGTTT